CGTATCTGCACGTTTTCTGGGCACTTTGGTAGCCATCAATACATTTCCATTTTTATTAGTGGGCTTTGCTTGTCCACGACTGTACTGTTTATCGGACTGGTGATGAGAAACTAGGAACAAACAAGAAAAGAACACATCATCCTGCAGATCATGCTGCGGAGCAAGTTATGATCGGCTCGAAGCTGCCGACATCCGTGATTTGGGCTAAAGTTGGAACGCACCTCAGACATCGCAAGACTTCCATCCGTTAAGCCAGGCTTGATAAGTGCCTCAGCCAGTGTTCTTCTCTGCATTGAGAGAGTCGGAGAGGATGAGTTGGGCTTGTGTAGTGCGCTCGGCATTCTTGGTTTTAGCATTGTTGAAGATCGGCTTCTGCAGTTTTCGTAGATTTGACGGGTGGTGAGCGGCTGCAATGGGAAGTGGAGGTGGGGGTGCCACCTAAGACGAAGAGAGGTTTAAGGTTAGAACTGACCCTGTCGTTTTCGCTAAAACTCGTCATCTGGATAGAATCTGATGACAGCCGGGTACATGGTGTCATCAATTTCGGGGGTGGCCATTTCAAGGAGGGCATGGAGGACTTTGAGACCTTCTTCGCCACTCCAGGATGAATTCGCCAAATCGTTGAACTTCGAGTCCGATAAGGAGACCAACTTTTGCGTCGAGTCGTATCGTGACGTTCCTTCGCCAGCATGCGAATTGAGATTGTGCTGTCAAAAGATACCGTCAATAGGATGAGGCAACGGCAAGACAATAACTCACGCGCAATGATTTTAGGTCACCTTGTCGTCGCATGAGAAGTGACGCGTTTCGAAGTGTCATACGTCTCCCCCCGTCTCACACATGTGATGTGCTGGCAATCACCGGCACTCCATATATGGCAATATTATGACTTAGGGCAATGTGCCATTGCCCTAAGTCGTGCTCGAGAACGCGCTACTGCGCGTTCTCGAGCACCTAACCTACCCTAACTATTTAACCACCTAACCTGACTTAGGGCAATGTGCCGTTGCCCTAAGTCGGCTCGAGAGCGCGCTACTGCACGTTCTCGAGCATATAAACTACCCTAACCACCTAACCATCTAACCACCTAACCTAACTAACCACCTAACCTAACTACCTAACCACCTAACCTAACCGAGAATGCGCTACCGTGTGGGGAGGAAAATATCCCCAACCCTAACCATTAACCGAACCACCTAACCTAACTGAGAACGCGCTACCGTGCGGGGAGAAAAACAACCCCAACCCTAACAACTAACCTAACCTCCTAACTTAACCAAAAACACGAACGCGCTACCGTGCGGAGAGAAAAATATCCTGTAAAGTAATTGTTTTAAGTAGAAAAAAAAATGGAGGAAGCAGAATTGAACCCTGAACACTTTGGTAAGCACCAAGTAACCTGCACAAATAACCACTACACCAAACCGGCATATATTTCTACTGTTCGTTATGTACTATATCCTCCCCCAAATGATCAACTTTCCTTATAAGGAAAGTGAGACGGGGGAGAGCTGCGACAGTTCGCGTTTCGGAACCACAAATGTCGAGTTGACTGGAACTTGGCCAAGAGATCAATGTAGATCGACGGCTGACTGAGAAAGAGAGCCTTGGTGGAATCATCAGACGGCTTTAAACAGGAAGGGCGTTTGAGGCGAACCTACCATACAGTTGAAGAGCCCCTCAACAGCACATGCGTGGAAACAGATAACAAAGGCGTACAAACCTATCCAGAAGAGATTAGACAAAGGGTGTTGGCAGAAAAAGAAGCGTACTTTTCACCGGAACATTCTTCTAGCAGAGACTTACGAACCACAACGTCCATCCACCACCAAGCAGTCGCCAAACTTTCAACCTCAGTTATTGATTCCTTCGCTTTTGCTTTCCCACCGCTAGCACACAGAGAGGGTTTCAACGAAGGATACAGTGAGTGATACCTTGAGGTCTCAAAATACTTTGACAAAGACGTCCGAAACGCCACTGTTTCCGAAGGTTGCGAACACGGATACATCGGTAGAATCTAGTGACCTACGCATGTCAAGAACTAAACCACACTACCAAAAAGCATTTAAACTCACAGTCTTGGCACCATCTCGCCCACCCTCTAGCTTTCCGACCAAAAAATAACAGATGTCCTCCATGAGCTTCGTCCGGTCTCGCAAGCCCCGCCCACGCGGGTTGAAGACATTGTGATCGTACTCTGGCTTGTTCGCATCAGGGTACTCAAGTACTCAAGGATGTGGAGGTGAACTAGGAGAATCAGAGGAAGAGGCAGATATGATCGATATCGACATAAAAAGATTATTTTTATTATTTTCTTATGCCACTGACCAATCCTTACTTCTTACACTCAAAACTAAGGGACATGCGTCGGCGCGCATGTGGTATGTACAACGACTTTTTACATGTCGGTACTAAATGAACGCATCTTTGCTTGCATTAGCTTATCTTCAACGACACCCGCATCCCAACCGCATCCTCAATTGGACAAGGGAAATGCTTGGGAAATGCGGTGAGACAACAGCGAGGTCGATTTTCTGTCGATTCTCTTTGAAAGTAAAAACGGCTCAATCCTGTTTATAACAGCTTGTCGCCGAAGCTTATAGGTTTGCTTATTGTTATGCTCTATACAGCTGCACCATTCCATGCGTCGATTGTATCGGATGCCATCGCAGACGGGGCCTTCGGGGCACTGTCGTGCCTAAATATCTAGCAGGTTGTAAAGCGATCACTACCATTCTTCCCTGACTATCCACTCTGGGGAGCACATCTTGTGTATGGTACCCAGTGTGCAATGTAAGTACTTCAAACATAAGTGAACCTTTATCACCCATATTCCACTGAAAGCTTCTCAGTGGCGGTTGCAGTGATGGCTCTATACGATCACTGTAAAATTCTTCGTAAACTTCATAAATCACTCGTTTACTCACTATTTGCTAGTCTCCCGTAGGCAACTCCTATGATGAGGGTGATGACAGTCGATCTCCCTCATATGGAACTATTTGCAACGTCAGTTACCACAATCGTCAATTCGTCTTGGCCAAACACTGATCTTACCAATGCATCCGAGGATATAAGGCTATATGGTATGGCATCTGAATTTATTGCTAAGTCCATCATGAAAATTCTTTTCACCATCGTAAGGTAGACGACAACCATACACAACCAACCCTCTGTGACGTGACATAACACTCCTTTTTTGGCAAACAGAAATGAGAAAGTCGAAGAAAAGGCCATAACAATTCTGTGCATAAAGTTAGGCAAAATCAATGACCATAGAACTATTAGAATTAGTGCTCTAAAGATATATACAAATTTATAAAGTAGGAGAATGAAAATTGGGGGAGGAGATACAAAAATACTATGGTAGGTTCCTGAAGCTCAGATTGACCATCAAAAGCCTTCGTCGCATCGAAGTTTCAATCCAAAATTGACTATAATGAATTCCTAAAGGTTTCATATCTTGCGGGGGTTGTTGTTCTCTGATATTTGTTAGTTAAGACGCGTCCTTGAGTAATTGAACACCCAGAAATAGAATCCCTCATTCTCCTTTGCAGTTTTAGCTTTTTGTTGTTTTATCACCTCTATGTAAGTTCTATGCTCTGGACTGGAGGTAATTGCTTCGCTTAGGCATGGTTCTGGCCTAATGAAGAGGATTTGCGTGTGTGCCTTCAAATTGACGCGTCGTGAAGTATTTTTGTTTCTTTTCCCTCAAATTTCGTTTTACTGCTTTAATTTTTTTTGTACTCCATGAAATCTGC